CTGCGTGGTGCGTGCCGCCAGCCCCAGGCAGCGCATCTCTGCCCGCGTCGCTCCTGGGCTCTGATTTGGGCACGGGATGGTGTGGCACAGACCTCAAGCGGGGTGATTGCAAGCTGGGGGGGGATTAATAGGTGTATTAGAGTATTTTTCTCTCCGGAGCTGATGTTCCCCCTTTCCCACGCAGGGCAAGAAGTTTGAGATCCTGCCGGACGGGCTGCCCTCGGCCAGGAAACTCATCTACTACACGGGCTGCCCGCTGCGCTCCCGCCACCTCCTGCAGCTGCTCAGCAGCAGCCACCGGCTCTACATGAACCTGCAGCCCGTCCTGCGCCAGGTCCGCAAGCTGGAGGAGAACGAGGGTAGGTGCCCCCCGCCCCCCGCCGGGGCGCAAATCCCACCGGTGCCGGGCTCCCACCCGGCTTTTCTGTCTGCACGAGCGCCTGGTCCTTGCGTTGGGAGCGTGTTGGGGGGGGCTTCCCCCACGTCCCCCCTCGACCGTGCGTCGGTGCACCCTGGCTCTGCCCGAGGAGCAAACCCTCTCCTGGCTGGAGTGGGTGCCCACAGACCCCCCCCGGCTGCTTAGGGATGGGCACAAGCCCCGCTGAGGTCCCTGGTGGCCCAGTTCCTCCCAGTGCCTCAATGCAGTGCTTCCCAGTGTCCTGTGTCCCATCTCCAAGTTCAGAAAGCCCTTGTGCAAACTTAAGATCTTCGTCCTCGTCTTCCTCTTTCCCCTCCTCATCTTTCTCTTTCCCCTCCTCCTCCTCATCTTCCTCCTCCTCTTCTTCCTCCTCATTTTCTTCCTCCTCCTCCTCTTCTTCCTCCTCTCCCTCCTCATCTTGTTCCTCCTTATTGTCATCATCTTCCTCCTCTTTTTTTTTCCTCCTCCTCCTCTTCTTCCTCCTCTTCTTCCTCCTCTTCTTCCTCCTCCTCCTCCTCCTCTTCTTCTTCCTCCTCTTCCTCCTCCTTCTCCTTCCTTCTCCTCCTCCTCCTCTTCTTCTCCCCCTCTTTTTCCTCCTCCTCCTCCTCCTCTTCTTCCTCCTTTCTCTTCCTCCTGTTCCTCCTCATCCTCCTTTGGAGGGATGGCACAGCACAGAGCACAGCAGGTTTGAGACTCTCCGCCCCACCTCACCATCCCCAAATGCCACCAGGACGGGGCTGGCTCCTGGTGTGCCACCCCGCTGGGCTTGGGTGACAGTGCCCCTGGGTGCCGGGGGTGGGGGGCCGTGCCCTTCCCAGGGGGGTCAGGGCACCCCGGGGAGGGTTGGGGTGCAGACTGCCGTGTGCCGAC